CTGGAAGATGGCAGAAGCAGTATTGATTGATCTGTTCAGTCTACAAATGAACTCACAAAATAATGGCATTCAGAAGTTATTATGTAGCACACTAGAAAGGATTGAAAAAGGCTTCTCTGCCAGTGCTCCATTTGTTTACATAATGTGCTACCAAACTCCAGGAAGTGAAAGGAGCAGTGAACAAGATTCGTTACTTAAAGTAATCAGCAGTTTTCAGACTCTAAAGAAAGGAATTGAGGTTGTGTGCAAGACAAGTACAGCTGCTGCCTTGTACACCATTAAACAAAAACTAGATGAAAAGGATTTAAGCATCATTAAAATCATTTTACCAGTACAAAGGAAAGCCTTAATGGAAGTGTTTATAGACCACCTATTCACTGCTGTTTACCAGTTTCAGTTTGAGGATTTGGGAATGGATTGTGAAGGAAACAACCTCCAACAAATAGCTGAACCTCAGAGCGACATACAAACACTTCCTGCCCATGAGATGGAACTCATCAGGAGTGAGATTCAGACATACTTGGAAAGTCTGCCAGACCTGAAAGGGAAGCTTACCATTCTAAAATCTTCCTTGATCCCAGGTAAACTGGAAAACAGATTTTATGGATTTTTTAAACCTGTTTCATTCAGTTTTCAGTTTACAGATTCTTCTACTTCAGGGGTTAGCAACATTAAGGCCCAGGGGTGAATTTTTCACCCTCAAAATATCTCTTTGCTGCTGTGATATCCCTATAGCCAGCCAGGGGAGAAGTCCCCAGTGCAGACATCAGATAAGATAGCCATAGATTGTCCTATGCAGCCCGCCCTTGTAAGTCCAGGCACAGAGGGTATAGAAGGGGCCTAAAGGGGTAGGCCTGTGGCACTCTGGGGATTCTGAGTGGCACTCCTGAATAACTTAGATCAGTCCCAATGGATGCCTAAATCACAGTCCAAAATTGGGAAGGAGCAAATGTGGCTTAAAGAATGGCACAACATAGGGTAAGATTCTATGTGTTCAGTGTTAGTGCTGACGCAGAAAACAGAGACACCGTGTCAGCTGATGGGGTCAGTAGCAATCATTCTTATGGGGAAGAAGCAAAAAGCAAACGCCTCTCTGAGTGGAGCCATAGAGCACAATGCTCCCCTTAATCTAACTGCTCTCCATCTCAGCGCTTGTGAGATCTAAGCAGCCAAACGAGGGCTGTGTCATGCGTTGAAGTTCTGGGTAGGAAGGGGTGGGCAAGGGGTTCCCTGTTTCCTGCTCTGCCAGCACTCACACCTTACATTTAATTAAATCTTTGGATATTGTGTTTTCCTGCACTATTTGAGGGGGGCATCTCACGGTTTAGATAAAAACAACCTACTTACTTTATATTCCGGCTACTTGGAATGACACTCCCCAAATCAAAGAACTGAATTGTTGGAAGATCTCTATCTGGCTATATCCTGTATCTGTTCGGATGTTCAGATAACAAATATGGACTGCTGAAACTATCTTCAAAAACACACCCACTACGTGCCTTAGCCAGTCAGAAAATCAGTTATACCTTACAGTAGTGGTTCAAAGACTTGCTACCTCATTTTTCTCTAAGTACATTATTCCCAGCTCGAGAAGAGGGATTTTTCAATTTGAGTTTTCCTGGAATTCTTCCTTCGGGGGCAAGAGATTATAGCACAGCATCCCTTGTGGCAGAGGAGGTAGAGGATGTGGTTGCAGAGAATGCACAGGGAATTCTTTATTCAGGGTGCCTGGTCTCTCACTGTCAGTCAGGTGTACGCACACACACACTTTGTAATTCTCCTTAGCTATCTAGGTCACAGATACAAGCATGGTCTTCACCTAAAACTTAGACCGACCTAGCTATATCACTCACGGGTGCAAAAAATTCACTCCTGTGGGGGAAGTAAGTAAGCCAACCTAAGCCCTGCTAAGTGTGTGGGCTAAGTGTGTGGGCTGTGGCCATGCCCCTGCCATAGCCTCTGCTGCAGATTGTCACCACGTATGTGCATCTAAATCCTGGATTGGGTGAAGCAATCATGGAATGGATTTTTATTACAGCACAAGGAATGGGTCTCCCTGCACATATCCACCTAGCAGAAGATTGGTTCTCCCTAAACCTGCAGTTCTTTAGAGATCTCCAGTGGAGGGAAGCGCCATTTTCCCAAAAATCCCTTGCCACTACCCTGCTGCTCAGCTTCCCCACCATGGCTTCTGTGGTTCCTGGACAGTATTTCACCTGTTGGAGCTGTGTGCCAGGGACCCCTCCACTGCAGGTGCTCCTAGAAAGAGGAGTTGCTAGAGACTTGGACACCAGTAATTTGCTTGGGTTTACCCTGGAAGTTGGAA